TTTTTTTTTCTCTAAATGAAAGTATTTGTTTTCTTTTTGTCTCCTTCCATTGCCTCTGATTGTCTCGTTCATATTTCTGTGAGGATCAMGTGCCACTCATCAGCACAAAATAACATTTCAAAGAGGAAAGTAAAGACCACATAGGGAGGTTCCCACTGAATTTATATTTTTCGTCATATTTTTTTCATCTTCACATCTCTTAGAGACATGGTTTAACTCTGGACTTGATCTTAAAGGTCTTTTCCAAGAATTCTGTGATTCTTTTTGCTTGGCTTGTGTTTGTTGTTGTGTTCACAAAACCACAAAATTCATCGTCCTCTGATTAATGTCTCACCTCTAACAATCCTTATTTTCTGACAATACCTTCCCATCCTTTCAAAGGCTGAAATACTGAATTTAAAAATTCCTTTTTCCCCTTTTCAGGTATTTCTTACAGAATTCTCTCTACCACATAAACCTATGATGCTTGATTAGTTCTTTCACATAATTTCCCCTTTTTTTTTGCTTTGCATTAAATTACCTAAACATCTCTATTTACTACCCAGACAAATATCAGTTGTCCTTATCTCAAAGGTTAAAATGTTGGGTTGCCCTACTACCCAATAAATTTAAAAAAAAAGACAGACCCCAAAAACTGACCTCATAATGAATCTCCCTTTCCAACCTTTTGTAATTTGGATTCTATTCCAGTTCTAAATAATTGAGATTTAAAAAAAAAAATCAAAAATATTGATTTAAGGTGGCTTTGAAAATACCTGAAAGCCTACAGATGGCTGACACTGCTACTGAAGATATCARATTTTTACTCCTGGTTCTGCAGAATGTTCCATCCTCCAGGATTTTGGGATCCCTCTCGAGTTTTCAGTGATAACTTAGGGGRAAAAAAACCTCAAAACACACTGTTGGATATAAAATTACAGAATATACATCCTTCCCTGAAGCATCTGGTCACTGTCAGAATTATCCCATTAAACAGCCATGCCAATGTCTACCTTATATTTCAATTACTCTTGGTTGGAGTCAACAAGAACAAAAATGAAATAGAAGAAAAAAAATCTCCAATTCTGCCCAAAAGATTGAGTTCTGAAGAAAAGGATKTTATAATCCTCCAGTCCTTGCCTGCAGACTTTTTCCATTAGGTATAAATCTGTACCAACACTGTCTGTTGAGTGATGGGTCTAAGTTGATAAGCTACTAAGAAAAGCTTATAATAGCATTTAGTTAAATATTTTCTATACTGTTTAACTTAAAMCCCTTCTACATTGGAGGCGTAACCTTTCATCCCATTTAACTCATGAAATGCAAAGAGGAGGCTTATTCGGTGCATCAAGAATTTTCAACACAGAACAAGAGATTTTGTAAGGAAAATTGGGAGGAGTGGCTGCAAAGAGCTTTCCCTATCTTGGTTTAGCTGCTGTACTAAATTAAACGCTACTGAAGATCTCACCCGGTGCTTGACTGTGGAAATGAGAGCTGCTCTTTCCCAGGTTCTTGCAGCCTGCTCTGAGGAGGGGACTTTACCGATGACCGCAGAGTTTCCTTTTTAAAAATTATTCGATGATCTTGAGGAATAAGATTGAAARAACCTCATTTAACCGGCACGGATTTGAAAGTGTTTTGTATTCTAACAGGAATCCCGATTCCATTTTCCACCCTGAAGGGAAAAGCAGGACAATCAGAGTATTGCACTCCTACGTGCAGCGCTTTGCTTTGGGATTATCCTCATTGTTTGAATACAAAAAAAATCCCGTTATAAAAATGCTGCKATATCGAGTTAATGTCATTAATCCTACACCACGGATCTCCGGATGTCTCCCGTTCAGGTGGCGCCTTCCCTCCACGCACACAAAGGTAGAACAACAAAGCCTTGTGYGCGCCGGGGCAGCGGCCTCGGGGCAGCATGTGGGTGTGGGAAGCGGCGAGCGGCGGCGGCCGCGGGGCGCTCGGGCCGGGRAAGGCGCTGGGCTGCGGCTGCAATCGGTGCGTTGCCCCTTTAATTGTGTCCCCAGCCCTCGGGCGTCTCTGTCCAACGCCCACGTCAGCAAATACCTTTTGTTTCTCTCCCGTTCGGGCTCGCAGGGCTCGGGGCTGCGGGAGCAGCGGCGCGTCGCCTCCAGGCACGGCGAGCCCCGAGGCGGGGCCGGGGACCCCGCAGCCACCGCCCGCTCCCCCCGGCTCGGCGGCCGCCGCCCGCAGCACCCCGCCGGTGAGTGGCGGCTCCCGCACGCCGGTAGGCCGGGCAGGGCGCTGGGTTTGGGGCGGAAAGGGCCCGGCAGGCAACCCGCTCGAGAGGAGCGGAGAGGAAGGCGCGGGGCTCCGCAGTGTCCGCGGGCCTCCCGGTGCCTCCCGGTGCCACCCGGTGCCAAGCGGGGCCAACGGAGCCGCTCGGTGCCGCTCGGTGCCGCTCGGTGCCGGGGCTGCCGCGTCCCCGGCGGGCGCCATTTGCAGCCCCGGGCGCGGACACAAAGGGGCTGAGCGGGGCGGGCGGCGGCGAGAGGGGGCGGCGGGGGCGCTGCCGGCCGGGTGGGCGCGGGCGGCGGGACGGGAGCGGGTCTAGAGCGGGACCGGCTCGGGCAACAACGGGCGCCGGGCAGCGGGCGGGGGCACCGGGGGTTCTGGAGGAGGGGARYCGCGKCTCSGTTCCYGCGGGCGGCACGCCCGGCCCGGGGCGGTCCGTGCGGGCGGAGGGAAGCGCTCAGCCGGCCCGGGCTACGGGCGCTGCGGTCCCCGCGGCGGGAGCGGGACCGGGAGGCGCCTCCGCGCTGGCGGAACGGCTCCGGCGCCGTCGGGCGTACCGGGCTGCCGGGGAGCGAGCGGCCAATTCGGCCGGGCGGGCGGGTGAGTGACGGTAGCCGTGGCCAATGCCGGGGGGCCCGGGCCGGGAGGGTGGCGGCCCCGGGGCGCTGCCGCCGCATTCGAGCGGCTCCGAAGCGCCGGGGCAGAGGCTGCGCCCATCGCGGACCCGCGTCAGCCGCGGCTCTGCCCACGGCGGGAGGGCCAAGTTCTCTTGCTCAGTCTGAGAACCATCATGGCTCAGTCGATATAATTTCCGTTCTTTTGGGATACGGTGTAATCCCGCTGGGACATCTTTTCATCTCTTTTGGAGTTGTTAAGTTTCTTCTCTCTTGTTATGCAGGGTAGCGGCCGCAGGGAGATTGGAGATATGTTGGGAATGTGATGCCGTTTTTTAAAATGAGGGCTCATCTCTTTAAATTATGATTCAGCATCGTTGATTTAGATTGTCATGATGATGTTCTTTCCTTTACAGCAAACCTTCCTCTTATCCCCTGCCTGGAATGGAGATTTCTTCCCACCAGTCTCACCTCCTGGAGCAGCTGAACGAACAGCGGAAGCAGGACTTGTTCTGTGACTGCAACATCCTGGTGGAGGGAAAGGTTTTCAAAGCCCATCGCAATGTGCTGTTYGCCAGCAGYGGCTACTTCAAAATGCTCCTTTCGCAGAGCTCGAAGGAGACGAGTCAGCCRACAATAGCCACGTTTGAGGTCTTCTCTCCAGAGACGTTCATGGTTATCCTGGACTTTGTGTATTCAGGGATATTGTCTTTAACGGGTCAGAATGTTATCGAAGTCATGTCAGCTGCCAGCTATCTGCAGATGACAGATATTCTCAATGTCTGCAAGACCTTCATTAAGTCCTCRCTGGATATTAATGAAAAGGAAAAGGATCATTACCTCAGCCTCTCCGCCAAAAGCGCAAGCATTGAACCCGCCCGGCCGACTCTTTATCGGTCCAGAAGGAAAGCAAAGAGCAACCCCCGGCGTTCCTGCTCAGTCCCGGATGAAAAGCCTAATGGGAATGAAAACTCCTGGAGCAGTTACAGCAGCTACCTGTCCTCACAGGGGATCCTGCAGCAGGCAGAGACGCAGCTGTCCAAGAGAGGCAGGAAACAGGGYTCCACGAGGAAGCGCCGCAAGCACCTGGGGCTGTCCCAGAGCCGGGAGCCGGGAGGGTGCAAATCGGACAGAGCRGAGCGAGCTGGAGCCTCAGATTCCAGTCACATCTCCCGGGGGGAAGAGGAGGCWGAGTTTGATGCTGAGAACGACGTGGATCAGGATGATTATGGATATCACGGAGCAGAGGCTGTGTCCAAGAGGTGGTCAGTCGCTCAGCTAGAACAAGAACTTTCCAGAACTCCTGAGTTAATGGAGTTAAAGGCAGAAGAACTGTACACCTCCATGCCCACAATTTTAGGGGTGATGAGTAGTTGGAATGAAGGTAAACAATAGAAACAATYTGGAAAAGTTTGGTTTTATTTAGGATTCAGATATTGTTTTGGAGAGAATTGGTATGGCTGTATGGACACCAGAAAGGTGCCTAGAATTAGAGGTGATTTTATCTGCTCAATTTTAGTGCTACACTAATGAGAGACTTTGCAGCCAGAACAGGGCRTGGGAATTAGAATGGGAGAGTGTGACCCAGGTATTTTGTAAAGATAAATCAAAAAAAACCTGCCTGATTATTTGGGCCCAAGTGGAGTTTAABGAAGCCTCAAGGGCTGTAATTAACTTGGGGACCTGAAGGACTGAATTTCTCCATTACCTGGCAGTAACAGAGGTGTTCAACCTCAATCCCATCCAAGTCCTTCACATGAGAGGTGCTGGTGTTGCTGGAATGGTGCATTTTGGGGTCCAACCAGCCCAAACTTCATTGGCCACACTATATAAACTCCTGATGGACTGACAGCATCTGCCTGAGAAGGTGGAATAAAGTTGATAGGTTCATTCTCATGTGCATTCCTTTGGGAATGAACATATCTCTATATTTTATATATATAAAAATAATATTCTGAGGGCATCCTTACATATCACACAGAGATTATCARTATCCGAGCTCAGAACTATTGGCTGCTGCAAGAGTCAGATATGACAATAAATATAAATATCCACATATTTATCATCATCTGTATGTCTAAAAATTATCAGTAAGAAACGCTACAAGTAGTTAATTAACATGTTAAATAAGAATAAAAATACAAGCTTTGGGGGGGATATATATATATATATTAAAAAAATTGGAAGTATTTATATCCCCCAAAGCCTGTATTTTATGTATCATTGTATACTTATATATAATATAATATAAACTTATATAAGTATCCAAATATCCCAGATATTTGGGGATTTTTCCTATTAAATATCCACATATTTACGATCATCTGTATGTGTAAAAATTATCAGTAAGAAACGCTACAAGTGGTTAATTAGCATGTTAAATAAGAATAAAAATACAAGCTTTGGGGGGATGTAAGTGTACATATATATAAAAAATATGAAATATATCTATATCCCCCAAAGCCAGTATTTTATGTTATGTACCCCAAAGCCAGTATTTTATGTTATGTATCAATATATACTGATATATAATATATAAGTATCCAAATATCCCAAATATTTGGGGATTTTTCCTATGTAAAGGACACTGGAAC